CACACCTAACTAAGTTATACACCTCCATTTGTGTGAAAAGTCACACACGCCAATAAAATCAAACATCCATTCGTGCATGAAAAAGTCACACACTTACAGACGTCTTGAAACGGCGGACACACATCACATGCGATAAAGTGTGTAATATTCACACACTGCTTCTAACAGTGTTGGTATTCAAAACTCAGAAAAAATTTTTCATGAAAACAAAGCTTGCGCTATGAGGGAGCAGAAAACGAGACTAAAAAATCGTAGTAAATGAAACAATCATAGCAATACAAATAATACATTTCTATAGTAATATGCAATGCACTTTTTATAGAATATTTAATTCTAGAAAAAGATCATAGTTTTAGAAAAAAATTATTTAAAAACATATAAGTCTAAAACATAATATTATAAGACTAGTTAGTATTATGTTATAGTTATACTATTATAAATATATGTATTTGGTCTAACAGCACGAAATTTTTTGCATAAAATATTTTGTTATTTTGGAAACAAATTATTTTGTTTTGTTATTATTATTTTTTAATTAAAACTTTTGTTCCATTGGAATACGTCTGGGGCTCGATTCTTGAATTTATTCGAAAGAGAAACGTATGCGAAAATTGTACCCTCACAGAAAAGTTGAAAGCCGATTGGTTAAAAATCACGCGAATAGCCAATCGACTTGCAACTTTTCTGTAAGAGCAGAATTTTCGCATACGTTTCTCTTCGAATGAATTCAAGAATCGAGCCCGTGGTTATTCACACTTTTAACAATGTTTTTATATAAGTTTATGCTAAAACGTTACATATTTTTTAATACTTGGCCTGACAATCATGTACAGAACTTATATTATTCTTTATTGAATATAATATTTTTAATATCAAAGCATAAGCGCTGAAAAAACTAGTGTGTAGAAATTTTATTTTAGTTTCGACACAATTTTGTAATTTTATTTTACATATTTTTGTTTAAAATTATCCTGTATTTTAAATGTTTGTAACTTTATTTTTATTATAGCCTTTTAGTTTACGAGAAAATTAAAGAAGTTCTGTTTGCGCATCAAAAAGAGCTAAATAATCGTTTTCGGATGTTTTGTTGCAGAATCCCAACAACTCATCATCAGAAGCATCAATATCCCTTCCTCTGTGAAAGTTGGCGATGTCGATTATGTGATCCTCGACTGCGATTATGTTCTGGAAGACACTTCGAGCAAAGGGTTAGTGGTCAAGTGGTTCTTCAACGACAACCAACTGGTTTACCAGTGGATCCACGGCAGAAGTCCCTTAGCTGACGAGCCGGCCGCGAAATATGTCGATTTGACATACAAGGCTAGCGATGATCCTTTCACCGAGTATCGAGCCATGAAGTTAAATAAACCAGGAATTGATCTAACTGGTGATTATATGTGTGTGATATCGACGTTTGAGGACGAACGGGCGGCAAATGCCTCTATGGTAATCTACTGTAAGTATCTCTTTATAATATATAGTAGCTATAATGTAGGTATATTTTTTCACTACTTTTTCATTAATAAAATAATTATTTATAAATAAAATAATTTTTGTAAATATATTTCTCGTAAGAAATAACAAGTATATGTAGGGGAGACCGGGGCGAAGTCGTCACCTTTTTTTCGATGCCGGTTTTTAACAACAAAATACATAATTTTAGTGAAATGTGGTGTACCGTTGTAAAAAGTGAATCCTTGGCTATAATGTTTTCTATGTATTTTTGGTCTACATCGCTTTGTTCAATCGGTATAGAGTAAAAAT